ACTAGTGAGATTGCATTGCTCATGTGAATTTGAAAGTGCTGATTTGTAGGAGCATCTTCTAGCTGAAAATTCTTTAAACAAATATTTTTGACTTATGTATTTTAATAATTTTTATGGCTTATGAGCTTATATATTTTTAATTATCATCGTAGGGCTTTCATTTGTGAATTTGTACAGTTTAACTCCCCGTATTCTTTCTAGCCTCTTATTTATAAAATCTGTGTACTTCAGATTGTCTTGCAGGTGTTGGTGATGTCAGGTCTAGAATATACTCTTAAGGCTGTCTGTCTGTAGGTTGTTTTTCACCATTAGCCCTCATTATTTTAAATGAGTACCCACCCACCTTATGCTCTGTAACCACATGTTTCCAGAGCTGCTCTGGAGATAACATCTTGTAGCTTACCATCCCCCGCCCCCAACTCCTTTTTTACGTCATTCATAAATGTTTTATAACTGAAGCCCAGAAAGTATGAGGGAAAATACCTATAAAGAGAGGACTTCTCTGGGTGTGTGAAATTCAGAAAAATTTGGAAATATGGTGCTTCTGCATATGAAGCTTTGAAACGAACTTCATCCTGTGTTTAATATACATTAGTTTGTAAATAAGGAGTCCCACTAATTGCATTTATGGCTCATAGCGAAACTACCTGTTATGTCTTGTTACTCTTGGGGAAAAAAATTGACAGAATTATATATCTGTGTGTGTGTTAAAAAATTGAAATACAGAGAATAGTGTGGTATAAATTGTCTCTAATTATGTGTTTTTTGCTGGAGAGGCAATTAATCAGTTTTTCCTGTTAACCGTGATAGTCACCTGAATTCAGGTGTGCCAAGCTTAGAGCAAACGGTACGGAATGCCTCATTTTGTAAAGCAATACATTATTGTTGTCCTTCTTTCTCCTTTTATTGGAATGACTAAAAAGTACCAGACTTGTGTGATATTTTAAAGAACCACTGTTTACTCAGATAATTATTTTGCCTTTCAATTGTGATTTAAAGATCTGTTGTATTCTTAAGAATGATTTTATTGGGTAAGGCCAAATGTGTTTCTGGAGAGAGTGACTCTGTAGTGTTTTGTTTGTTTCATTTTGTTTTGACTCAGTAGTTTTATAATGGCAAACTTGTAGTCTTTAAATTTTGTGTTATGGTCAATTTTTCAGAAACATTCCATAAAATGAATCTCATCTGTTTTCATCAGGAGGGTGGGCCCCTCCATGAAAAATCTACAGAAAAAGGTGAATTCAGGATGTAATGACAGTATATCATGTCAGGCCAGGAAGCCACCCAACCAGTCAGCTCCTCAGTTTCCTGATAAGCAAAGGGAGACCCTGGATCACACCATGGCTGTGGTTGTGTGTAGGAATAGAGCCTGCTTCTTCTGACCCCAATTTTGGTGCTATCTCTTCAGTATCTGGCTACAGTGTTTATGAAAAACAAAGAGTTTCCTCTCTCCTTCCCTGGGGATAGTGATCAATGATTACAGTAGTATTGGAGCCTAGGTTTACAAATAATAATTCCTGCCGGGTGCGGTGGCATGCTCCTGTATTCCCAGCTACTCGGAATGCTGAGGCAGGAGGATCCTTTGAGCCTAAGAGTTCAAGACCAGCCTAGGCAACATAGCAAGACCCCATCTCAAAAAACAAAAGAATAATTCCTGGAGAAGCATATTAATTTTGTTTTTCTTATGAGTTATTCTTAGTAGGATTTGAGTTGTTTTCAGTGATATA